CTGGCTGACTCGTCACTTAATCTATTTCTATATTTTCTAATTACTAATGATGCTTTAGAAAATAATCTCTTACCAGGTACTGAAGTTGCAGCTATTAAAACAAAATCACGGGCCATTCTTTGATAAAACCGAATACTCATGTGTCCTCCACCACTCTAAAATGTCTTCCGAGCTGGCGGCTCTGGGTTTACTTAGGTACTCTTCGTCTTCGTCTTCGTCTATAACTAAGTGTTGAAGTTAAGATCCAGATCCAGATGACAACGAGGCACATGCATACAGATTCTGAAAGCCTATTACGTCGTCACCTTCATCATATTCACGTAGTGTTTTATCATTTTTTGGTGATTCTGGAAATTTATTCACTTAATTTAGACTTTTATATTCTTCATAAAGTACATTAAATTTACGCAGGCTTTCTGTTTTAATTTGCTTCTCCCATACTGTCTTTTCAAAAGTCTGAGCCTTATGCTTTGGGTTAAAGAGGTACAATATATCCAGTTGCTCTTTCTATAATGTTTAAGCATTTTGTCGCGAGCTGATTGAAAACCCAAAATTAGCCTCTCATCCACTACAGATCGATTAGGTGTCTCATCTAATTGTTTTACCATGGACTCAATTTTATCGAGCAAGAGATTGAATGATACACTGACAAGTGATAATGTTCGAGTATTTGCCATTCACTATCTGTGATTTGAAAATCATTCAATTCGGTGACTGAAGTGCAATATGTTAATCCAATCATATCATGTGTAGAATTCCATTTCGTTGGACAGTCGAGTACGGAATTCAGATTTGATGGCACGCCAGCTGCTTTACAAGCAGACTGACACTTCCTCTTCAATATCTCACTTCTTTTTATTTTACAGGAAATACTATGTAATTTTGTTATAGCTGTGCGTGAGTCAGCAATATTTGGCGCATATTTTTCATCTTCCTCAGTTTCGTCTTCATAGTCTTCATATTGCTGTTCTTGTGCGTTACCGTCAGTTTCACAGTATAGTGTTAAGGTCTTTAATAAATCTTGTACACCAAGGTTTAAAATGCGAGCAAAGCACCGGTAATGTTGATTGTCTGAATCAAAGCGTGGCAGCTGTTTTCCCAGCTCATACATAAATTTGTTGTTGTGAACCTGTATTTTATCAATTCTTCTATATTCCAATAAACATTCCTGGAAAATCTTCCCCAGTGTGTCGACCGCGGGATGGTATAAAATCAAGGACTACAGATCGATACTTCCATTGGTTGTCTATATAATGAATAGTAACCCCACTCCTACCGGCAATTGACCGCCAACCTTTCTTCTAAGTGTAGACCTTTTAGGAAACACCATATTTGGGCAAATCGATCGAAAATATACTTGTGTAGGTTCGTTGTCGAAAAATGAGAAGGGAAGATATTTTTTCACTATCCAATCAACTGTAACTGTCATGATGTTGTCACTGAAAAAAAAATCTTTGCAAAAAGTCCTTTCAAACGATATCACAGTCGATATAAGTAGGTACCTAGAAAAAATTATTCCACCTACAATATTTAAGGTACATCCCTTCCATGTAGCATAGTCATGGAACGCGCTGCTTATAAACATACCTAGTACTTGTTTCAAGAGCACAAATTCTTTTGGTGAAAGATAAGAAACTATAATCGGTATATTTAAGAACAATAAATGTTGTTAACACTACTTTTATCTAAATAACTAACATGAAAAAATAAAGAATAGGTTTTTAAAAAAATATTAATCAAAACAAGTTATTTTAAATTAAGTCGATTATAATTAATAGAAGTAATTAATACAATAATTTACCAAAATAAAGTAGTTGTTTCTCGCCGATTATTAAAATAAATTAAATATAGACTTATAAACACCTATTTACTACTATAATTACAATTTACATACCCATATTGTCTTAAGTATATTTTTTCTTATCTCTCCACTTTTCCAACGGTTATTGAAAAGTCTAATTTTGGTTTTTCCAGAAAAAAAATGGTTGTTTCCTTTTCGTGAAAAGATGTTTGGTGCTGCCTTAAGCCTGAATTGTTTCTGTTTTTCATTTTTATTTCAACCTTTACGATTTACACAAAGCAATTTGGGATGAATGAATTATTTCAAAAAACTCATCAAATTTGCTTTTAGGTCTTTTTGATTTATAAATCAAACTCTCACTACTTCGACTAGTACTGTTTGAATCTTCGTCACTCATGTTTAATTGTAAACGTGTTACGTTTTCCGAGAACAATAAGATTTCAGTAAAAACAATTATTACATGAGACTCGAAGCAAAGCTCAGTTGGAAATGACTGCTGGAATTATAATTATTTAAAATAGACACTATATTTTATAATCCTTTCGCTTTGTTTCAAGTTACGTCGAGAATGTTTTGACACTATTCCTCAAGCATACGTCATTTGTTTCGATTTCCGGTATAGGAAAATTGCAAATTTGGAGGTTGCCATGAAAATTTTTGAAGTAAATGATCCAAAAGCCTGCAGCCTATCAGTGTTACCAAGATCCGTATGATAGCAAGAATAAAGAATTGATAGTTTCTTTAAGCCAAAAATTTAAATTATTATTTCTCATTACTTGTCTTGATAACATATTAAAGTTTTATAATTATTATTAAAATTATTAATAATATATAGATATAATATATATAGATATAATATATATATAGATATAATTATTTTAACAACTTGCTTTTAATAATATAGTATCTATATCCTTTGTTATAAATGCAATTTTTTTTAAATTTCGAGTTCGTGTGGATCCTAACTCTTGAGTTTTACATGTAAACATATGAAAAAATATGTCTCGGCTTACGTCATTTAAGTATGTTTACGTATACGTAAGTATGAGGACTGCTTGTATTTATTTTTTGTCTTGTCTTTGTCTTTGTCTTTGTTTGTCTTTGTCTGCCTGAAATGACACTCAAACCTGCAAGACGCAAGAGTCTTGCAGTCTGAGTCTTGTTCTTACTCAAGTCTTGCATAGTCAGTCTTGGTATTGATCTTGCTAAAATTAGGCAGTCTTGGACTTGGTTTTGGGTCTTGCAAAAATGTAAGTACCAAGACCAACACTACAAAACCTATATCATTGGCAACACTACTTGAATCCTCTAGGAACTTGTTTATAAGAAATCGGTGCAAACGCTGTTAGAACGCATAGAACTAGCATTCGTACGAGTTGGATAATATCCTTATTTGAGGGTAATAAGATCTAATGAGGCTATCGGTAACTATTTTTAGCACCCACTGTAATTTTATTTGGAACGTTTAATTATACTTAGTTTACATTTAGGGCCGTAGAAATCTTTAAAAAATAAAGATATTCACCCGTAATGTATGTTTGAGAACGCAAAGGAAAAACGATATTTTCTGTACCCCAAAGGCAATAAATACTAATAGCTCTTAAAAATAATAATACTTGTTTTTTTTTTGTAAAAGTAAAAAAGTCTGTCAATTTATAATTATAACACTTCATGATTGACAATACAACAAATATACTGGACAATGCAATTTTCATAGCGCGTAGGATATTCTTAATAAATTATCGATGCCCGTGCTTTTCATCGGTCGCAGTTTCATGTAAACTGCAATTCCTGCTGTTGAAATGCAACATTTAAAAGTGGTTGTTAAAATATTTCTCAATGTAGGTACACGCACGGGTAGCACGCGATTCGTTTCCAACACGAAATCGTCGGTGCACGAAATGCAGCTTGAATTGTGTAACTTCTACTACGAAAAGCCTCGGCGCGTAAATCGCAATAATGACATGTTAAGTGTCTCACGTGAGGTGGCCATAGGCTTTTCTCACAACCTATAAAAGTTAATCAAAATTTCTTTGTATTTAACGGAATTTTTAGATTATTCACTTTTGGATTATATAGGGTGTCCTAAACCTTCGATTTGGACAGCAACTTTGGAATTTGAAATAGAAAATTCTACATTTTATTGCGTTTAAGCTAACTTTCATCGGACCGACCTTTGTGGTTTTCACACGATTAGGGAAATATTTAAGGTGTTTGTGACTTGTTATTGAAAAGTCAGTTTATTAAGAAAAGCTAGCAAAATATTTATTAGACTAACTAGTAATTTTTGGAAAACGAATATTTAAACACGAGACCTAGGATTAATGAATCTTCGTGATGCTCCAGTCTAGAATTATATCAAGTGACATTTTTAATGTATGGGGTTTTATTCGGTATAGGACACTTATGACATTTCACTTTTTCTGCCCAATTTATTTAAAAAATAATATATTGCCATTGCCGAAGTAAATTAAATTAAAAAGGTTTATCTAAGACAAAAATATAACAATATCGTATTCTTAAACAAATACTTTTATTAAGTATGAATAATATTTGTTTCAAAATAAAGCATTTCTACAATTCTAATCAAAATTGATTGAAATTCCTCTAAAAATTAAGCGGCTCATACCCAGTGCGAGTCTCTAATTTAATTTAATAAAAGGACGTGGCTATCAAATGCCAAAGATCTCCAAGAGGCTTATATTAATCTTTGCAACATCTAAGTATAAAATTGAAGATATTCTGACCTTTAGGTTACAAAAAACTCTCTATGAAGCATTGGTTTTGAAGGGACGATTTGCCTAAATGTAAATTATAAACAGTACAGAATTATCACCTGGATGTTTCTCATATTTATTGGAAAAAAGGACTTGAAGCAATAGCCTTCATTTCAATGGAAATTCTTAGTATGAAATGCCCATAATGAAGAATATGCCTTTCTCAAAAAACATCTTATTTCTAACTTAATGGTGGTGGGCAGCAATAAAAAACAACGCCGTTTCCTCTTTTATATTCCAAAATATAATTGAGTTTTATCTCAATGCTAGCCTTATCCGAACACTCTTTATTGGATAGTCAATATTACTTTTTGTATAGCTGTTAAAATTAAGATTAACATGTATGGAAGTTGGTATGCCTGATTAACGCTCGGTTAAACTAACAGTTCAGCTGATGTTCGCCGACATTAAAATAAAAGCGGTTTTATTTATTTATTTTATTTATTTAAAACTTAATAGTGGTGGGTAACAATAAAAAAACAACGCCGTTTCCTCTTTTATATTCTAAAATATAATTAAGTTTTATCACAATGCTAACCTTATGCGAATACTTGTTGCCGGACAATATTAATTTTTGTAATGCTTTTAAAATTAACATCCCATGGTTGATAAATGAAAAGAGGGGAAACATATTCACAACCGCGTTTATAGAACCTGTAAGAGAAATCTAATACCCACTGAGAGCATTTCTGAACAAATGGCACTCGCTATCTAAATTATAAAAAGTTGCAAATAAAATTTGAATTATGGATTCTTTCCGATCGGCGAATTCCGACTCAGCTTCGATACAGTTTCTGTTAAGCTGTTGCCGTTGAGTTTGACATTGTCCAAATTTGTGATCAATTCTTCCTCTTCGCTGTCCGTATTGATCACCGATGGGGAGTGCGGTCCCGCGTCTGGGACCAAACCTCTTAGGAATGTGGACAGTACCGTCCATGGAATTATTCTGTAACACAGAGTAATCATATATAAAACACCAGGTGACTTGCTAAGCCATATCGCTAAAAAAGCCACGTACCAGGGAAAATAATACATGCGCCTGTCATTAGTTCATACTTTACAAGGATATTAGATGAATAAAAAACACCCGTTGCTGAAATTCAGTTGGTAAACTTTCATTAAGCACGCATTTTTAAAATTTGTTAAATACCCATTTTTGATGCATTAAGCATTAAACATATTCTGTAAGAAATTTTATAAACCTCATTATATTAAACAATCATAAGTGAAGTTATGTGAACAAAGTTATTTCTTATTAATTATAATATAATAATAATGAATATATTGTACACATATAGTTTCTTCTCACAGAACTCAATAGAAAATTATTTAAAAATATTTAACTAACAAGCAATAAAAACCATTATTTTGTAAAAACCTACACCATTTAAACGAGACGGCAACTACGTAAATTGGTCCCAACTTGTAATTGGCAAGGAATAATAAAAATTACTATCGATTACGTCACTTTGCACTTAGCGCAAAACACTACCTGCTAATATTAAACTTGGAACCAGCAACCGATTGGGGTTTCGCGTCCGATTCATTGTCGACATCTCCAGGTTCTGTATTTGGATTTTTAATATGTTATCGAATTTTCTATTACTTTAGTCACAAGTTTGGAAGCGATCATTTGCAAGTTTTCACGGTCACGTCACACGTCATTCTCTATGAATGTATTCGTGCTCCAAGCGGTAAAATGAGAAGGTTTCAACTTATTTTAAAACCAGAGTCTATTTAGTGGAAATGGTCTTTGTTTTATATTTTCGACTTGTATTTGGGTTTGTAAATTAGGATATGAAGTAAGTTTTTAACAGGCTGGGAGGTAAGTATAGTATAGTAAAATATTTTTATAGCTAACAAATTTATCCTGAAATGCTGGAGAAATAGTTATATCTTCTTACTGGCAATCAATAAATTGATGTCACATTATAGGCATCATATTTCTAAGAAATTCTTGGATCTTGTACATAATAAAATATCGTATATGTTTTATGTTTTATAACGTAACAAATATGGCCGAATAGGATCTAAAACAAAAACCAAATTCGAACAAAATGCTTGATGGAAGCAATTATATTGGGTTTGTTTTAGTTTTCTCTTTGCCCTTTTATATTTTAAAAAACACAAACAAAACAACAACTTGACTGGTCGCTGATTGCAAAACCGGCTTTATAAAAAAAGTAAATGCCTGAATGGGCGTTCAGGCGATCTAAATATATGAAACCGTACATGTGGGTTTGGCGGCTGATCGGCCGTTGATATCTCCAGTTTTGTTTATTTGTTAATACATTTATATGAACATGTCTAGCTCCAAAATTCCCATTTTCTAAGATTACTGTTATCTGTTGCTGTTGATGTCATTGAAATTGATTAAAAAATTGGTGATGGTACCCTTACAAAAATATTTGTATTAGTTGTATTGAGAAATGTACATTTTTTTAGGGATTTAGGAATGTTAAGAGTACATGGAGCAACTGCGTTGTAATTGTGGAGTTGAAAACGAGATAAACTATGCAAAAAATCTAAATTGTTGAGGGTTGTTTGTTCTGGAGTTAGGGTACATATACTAAGCTATTTTTTCTGTAAAAAAGTTACTGTTGCCGGTCACTCAGCTAGTTTTCCAAAAAGTTGAAAGCAAATGCTAAATCTTTAACATGAAACTGTCGACGAGTTTTTTAGTTAATCAATTGCCTCTTTTAATTTATAAAGATCAACACAGAGAGAAGTACAAAAATTATTTCACATTAAAAAAACGAAAATTTAAGTAAAAGGCAGAAATTCTTTCCGTAATAATAAACAGACCCGATGCGAAAGGTGTGAAAAATGAAAATCATGCTCAGAAGTTTGTCGTCTGATCGATTGTTGATATTTCCACGTCGTGTTTACTGTTTACAGAAAAATCGATATTTCCACTTACGATTTGAGGACTAGCCCGAATCTCATAACTCCCGGGATGACCACCATGACCTCGTTACTTCGTATTCCTTCGATGATGCGATCCGCAACGTCGTTGGGTTTTAACCTTGGCAAAAACCTCGAATCGACGGTGTCGAACATTCCGGTTTGTTGGATGAAATACGGGCACACCGCCGTAGTCAGAACTCCTTTGACCCCTAAAACAGTTGAATTTGCGACGGAGATCATAAAAGAAAATGCTTGGTTACCTTGGGCTTCTAATTCTACTCTGAGTGCTTCGTCGAAACCCACTGCCGCAAATTTCGACGAACAATAGTCTACCAGTTTGTTAATCCCGACGTGTCCGGCCATAGACGCGACGGTGACGATATGTCCGTGCTTGTTTTTTATCATCTTTGGTAAAAACGCTTTTACAGTCTGAAAGAAATACCGAGATAAGAATGGCTGTTAATAATGCAGATCATATTTTGGTGGTCGACACTGTGCAATTTCCAGCAAAATTTGCTTGATTGTTTTGGCAGCATTTTGGTTATTTTTTAACTTTGAGCACTTAACAGAAACCTAGATTTTGGTTTTCGGAAGTTTCAGTTAAATGCCAAAAATGTATTGAACACTTACGTCTAAGGAAAATCAAAAAACTAATAGGAAAGGAAAACGGGGCTGTTTGAAGTGCTAAATAAAATCCAATATGCTAATTTAATTAATTTTTGTATTCTCTAAAACTCATTTTTTTTATAGGCTTCTTTTATACTAGTTTCAGTTTTCAGGATAATTGCACACATACATTTTTTTAAACAAATGGTTTATTGCAAATTTTCTATAATAATGAGCGTTCTATCTAGTACGCTTGGGTTTTACTAAACAAGCCAAAACCACATCAGAATCTTCTTTTTAACACTTTTACAAATGATTTTTTCAGCCCGATGTTTAATATCTCATAGGCTGGAAACAGCGGTTACTTATAAAGGTATTTATAATAAATAAATATTTTTCTATTTTTAATAGTCATGTTGCAATATTCTCGTGTCTACCGGGCTTTAATTCATTCTCTGCTATCGTATTATACTGGGTCGACTTATTATAAGTATATTTGGAATGGAAAAAAATAAGCTTTTAAAAATTGGGTGACTGTCATAGAGGGCTATCTCTCTATCTCCATTTTGAAATATTTTTGTTGTCGTTGTCGCTTCTACTCGAGACAGATATCAACTTCACATTCTTAAGAGAATAAAATAGATGCCTATTTTGTGAATGTAATTGATAGCTATAGAAAAATAATACATCAAAAACAGTTTTTAAGCTCTTCTTTCTAAATGTCTGTTCTTGTACTACAAACTAAGTTAGCTTGAATTGTCACAAGCTGGTGTAATCTGTCTCATCTGGAAAAGTCATTTTTTTCTAGTTCTCCATTTCATGGGATATCCGATTGAATATATTTTATTAATTAATTTTTCAACTAGACTACATTATTTTATATTATTTGTATATTTTGTCCATTACACAGGCATACATTTTCTTCCAATCTGCTTCAAACAGAGACCTTTTACTGCATTTTTGTACGCCTTTATCCTTGTCAGCTTTTGCAGATCTTTGGGTAAAAATTGTATGTAACTTTATAACATAACATTTCATGTGGCTCTTCTCATATCGTTCACAATTTTTTGTTTTTGTGTATAAGCCTTAGTGCCGACTGTCTGAAAAAAACAAATTCCTATTATCAAGAAGTTGGAATATATAATTTTAAGAAGTTACTTTAGCACTAAACTTAGATTTAGCAAATGTGAATCACATAACCTGCCTTAACCGAGGAGACCATAGCTGTAAGTGAGAATGTGCTAGGGATAAATGTCTTGCGTGAACTTACCGATAGATTTTCTTTTATATATTTCAATCTAACAACGAACCTGAATTTCAAATGTGGATCCAATATTACTCAACTAATAATAATTTTAAGTGAAAATCTAAAATGTTAGTTATGGCTTGCAATGACTTCTGTATAATGTTATAACAGGCTTAAGTAGAATATTGAAGACCTATGTAAATATACAGATTTACAAAACCATAAAAAGACAACCATTTTACTCGTGCTGTTGTATCAAAGTACATAAATTTATTTTTTTCAAAGTAACTTTTACAGTGCCATCGCTTAGGGATCTGCAAGGCACTGTAAGTCAAAATAAAGAATTTTCAGTTTTCAAAAATTCTATACAAATTCCATTAAATTTTTGTTCAAAAAAGGAATTACTTGTATGGAGATCGCATGGAGAAAATGGCGTAAAGTGTAATAATATTATATAATAACTATATGATAGAACTTAAGAAAATAAGTTCATGAACAATAAAAAAATAATAAAATGCAAATAGAATTATGTGGCACTTGTAAGACGTCGGAGCCTTTTCCATCGCACCCGAACCAATCGATTTCGCGTCTTCCATAATGAGGCAACGAAATCGAGAACATATTTCTCAAGGTCGCATTTTAATAAAACCGCAAACCATTCATTGGAATATTATTGTTTGCTTACCCAAAAATGCGCAATGACATTCACATCGAACGTCCTTTTAATGAGATGGTCTGGCGTGTCCAATAATAGGTTACCCACCGCGACTCCCGCGTTGTTTATCAAAAGGGTCACCTATAACATAAACTCAATGTTATGATACCGAGGCACCATAATATTGTAAGCGATTGGTTTAGACAAATTACGATTTTTGTGCGTTTTTTACGAGTGGTCTTTTTTGCACGACGTGCTATTTTAAGCACCAAGCTAATTAGATTACTATAATAATAATAATAATAATAATCATAATAATAATAATAATAATAATAATAATAATAATAATAATGATAATAATAAATGGTCTGTATTGGTAAAAAAATATTACTATTTTAATCGCAAACAAGGAAAAATTGGCCAAGAGGAAAGTTTAGCTAATACAAAAAGGTACACTTATAAATAATATCGAATTTCCTAAAATAAGTTAGAACATATGAAAAAGTTTTTCCTGCACATTTAAAGATCTAAATTGGTTTACACTGGAATTGCATATGCTCTACAAAGTCTTTGAGTTAAAATTTTTTGACTATATATTGCTGATGTGATATCCATGCAACAGAACAAAAGCGTGTTATAGATACACTTTTTGTATATACTTACAAGAATCGAATGACCACTCACGTATTTACGTACGTCGTTTATAAAAAAAATACACTTACGTCCCCAACTTCCTGTTGCGTCTTTTTAGCTACCCGGTACACGTCATCTTTGTCGGCTAAGTCACATTTGTAGCCATAAGCGATTCCACCAATTCCTTTAACTAAACTCACAGTTTCTTCAACACCTGAAAGATCAAAACCCAATCAGATAAATATAAAATTTGAAACTAACCACCGATTAAAAATCTGTTGCTCACTCATACACGAACCATTCATGAATAAAATTTGATATCATTGGATAGAGAGTGCAATTTATTTTACACTTCCTTTTTAAATAATGTTGACAAAAAAATAATGCTTTTCCCAAAAATATCGTTTCTTCTCGTGTGGTCAAATCTTAAGTATGTTTTTTTATTAAAGTCCCCATTTCTTTTTGCTATTTAAAATCGATTAACTATTACAAGTTTAAAGAAAGTTTCATTTTTTAAAATTTTCTGTCATCCTCCGACGTGTTCAGCTTTCTTTCTATTTTTATGAATAAATTATCGTGATATATTACCGCAGTGGAGGAGAAAGCTTTTCTGTAAATCCTCTCTTGTGAAAATTTGTCCATAAAACAACCAAAAAATTTCTCATTAGGAATGACGTGGTAGTGAAAAATTATTACCTACTTCAAATATTACTTCATTTTACTTAGCGTATTGCAAGATGTCTTGCGACAGAATAATTATTCCACAATCACTTTGTAAACCTTAATTATGTACGCTAGAACACTGTGATTTATCTTAAAATTGCAGATTAGTTCTTTAACCGCTTCGTATAATCGAATACATATTTTCACTTACGCACTAATAAATGAAATGCCGACGATGAGAGCGCACCCTGAGACGTAAATACGTTGGTCAATTTATTAATTATTTTTTTGGCAATATTTAATGAACCATATTATATGCGTTCTTTAAAAAATAAAATCACTACATATAGTTAGCAAAGTGGAAGAACCGTTATTACTTTTAGTTTTGCTTGAATAAAGGGTAACTTATAAGTGCTTTATAAGAAACCTTCATTTAAATAACAGTTTTTCCAGTTTTGTAATAAATTTTATAAGATTTCCAATAAATAAATAAAACATTTCCGTTCATAATGTATTAAACCTTTCATGCTGGTTACTTGAAGCTTTTTAAAAAGATTTTATAGGCTTCGTAAACACCTTGTTATAACATTTTCCTCTTGGAGTTTTATAAGTTACCCCGTAGCCAAATAAATCACAAACAATCTCCTTTCAAAAAAGATTATAGAAAAAAAGGAGAAAAAGTTTTATTAGCCATTCATGTAAGCTTTACAAAACAACAAATAGTAAGTCAGCAGACAATATCACAAGCAGATCGACATTGAAGAAATATTCAAATCATAGATTTTGACTCATAAATAACCTTGAAGTTATAATCAGCTTTATGTAATGGGATTCTCTAACAATAATTGCTTCTTCAACCGCGTGGTAAAGATTATTATTCTGAGATGCCCGCCTGGTATTATAGTTATGCATGCACTAAATAAACAATAATTGAAAAGTGAGGTTATTATAGAATGCGCACTTATAGTTTTCGATTGGTCTTCCAGTTACTCATAGTTTTATGGCGACTACCAAGGTTTTTATAAATAATATGATACTGCTAAAATACATCAAATCGATAAAATAACCTATTAAAGTGTCATAAAAAAACAAGAACATAATATTAGTTACCCAGAAAAATGTAAGAAAATATATTCTTAATTGCCAATAAAAATTAGTTTAAGAAGCAAATATAACTTGTAGTAGTTTTTTAATGTTGAAGAACTTACTGATTCCTAGTATATAATTTGTTGAAATGTTCTTATTACAAAAAAAATCAGTTTAATAATCAGCAAACTGGAACCATATGGGAAAAACTCATTTTTATAAAAACTTCTGCATCTTTTAGACTCTAGAATATTGTCGATGTTTTCCAGCAGTAACAACATTTGTTAAAAATATAATGTTTAGTCAAGTATTTTGAAATTGGACAATAAATATACAATTAAATCAATTTTTGAAATGTGTTTCTAGGTACAATAACAATGCAAATTTTACTATAGATACTGTAGAGCTGCCTCATGTCACAGTACATTGAATGTTAGGGAATATGTTGAACATATATTCCCCCTCGGGGGAGCCTGTAACCCCTAGAGGGCGCGTCCCCAGGTGGCGGATAGGGGGATGCCCGACCCGGTTCACCGGTGGGTAGGAGGGAAATAAAATACCTCCCGCGGACCAACAGGCACTTGCCAAACCGTCTGGCCAGCGTGGCAAGTTAAGGCTAGATACCCCTTATGGAATGTCGAACTCAAAAACAAGTGTATCCCAGGCGAGTAGAGATAATATCTCAGAATCTCGCACTGTGAAAACAGTCAGCCTCACGGATTCTGGGAGAGGCAAAAGTTCGATGATATCAAAAACAAGGAAAGACAGAGAGCGCATCAAGACAAAAACCCTATACGTGTCCACTTTTAACGTAAGAACCCTATCCACAGATGACAAATTAATTGAGTTTGAGGAAGAGCTGAAAGGTGTTAACTGGCATATAATTGGACTATCCGAAGTGAGAAGGTGTGGAGAAAGTTGCACAACACTGCAAAATGGACACACTCTCTACCACAGAGGCAACCAGACAAACAAGATTAATGGAGTGGGATTTCTCGTAAACAAAAACATAGTAAACAACATTATAGAATATAAAAGTATATCTGAGAGGGTGATATCGATAGATCTAAGAGTAAACAAAAGATACACATGTAAAATAATACAAGTATACGCCCCGACAACAGAACATGAAGATGAGGAAGTAGAAGAATTCTACGAGGAAATCAATCAGGTTTTGAATAACAACACGGCTCACTATGTTCTTATGATGGGTGACTTCAATGCAAAAATTGGAATAAGATCAGACCCACAAGAAAAAGGAGTAGGAGCATTCGGATCGGGAACACGTAATGAAAGAGGAAAACTTCTACTGAATTACGTTAAAGAAAACAACCTCCATATCATGAACACCTACTTTAAGAAGAAAGAAAGCCGGAGGTGGACTTGGAAAAGCCCAAACGGATTAATCAAAAACGAAATAGACTTCTTAATAAGTAACAACAAAAACATAGTACTAGATACAAGTGTAGTAAACTCCGTTAAAATGGGAAGTGACCACCGTATGGTCAGATCTAAGATATACTTCGATACAAAAATAGAACGATACAAATTGATCTCAAAGGGACCCAAAGGTATCAACACAGAGGAACTCAGAGTAAAACAGGAGCAATACCAACGTCAACTAGAAAATTGTATCGATCGAAATATGCTACACACCCAGTCTATTAATATGCTAAACAACGAGATCTCAAAGCAAATCCAAGAAATAGCACATAACGTGGCAGGAAATAAGAAAAAGAAAAAACTTCAGCTTTGCCAACAAACTCTGGATCTAATCAAAAAACGCAAGACGATAAACCAAGATATTACATTGAATCATATAGAAGTCACGGAACTAAACAAGACAATAAGAAAGAAAATCCGACTCGAAACAAGGAATTATAAGAACCAGCAAGTTAGACAGACGCTAGAGGAGAGAAAAAGTTTGAAAGTACTGCAAAGGGAATTTAAGAACAGGACCCACATCACAAAGCTTGTAAATGAGAACAACATCGAATGTACCAGGATGGAAGAATTAAAAGAATTAACTGAGGCATTTTATCGATCGCTATACGAAAGCAAAGCCAAACCACCACTAGAAACATCTTCTAAAGAACGACAGAAGGTAATGAATGTAGGCTCAGAAGAAATCCCAGACATAACAAGTGAGGAAATTGAGAGAACCATGTCCAAAATGCCAAAAGGAAGAACAGCGGGAGGGGATGGTATAGTATTGGAAATGCTGATCTATGGAGGAGAAATAGTTCTGGACATTTTAAAGATATTATACAATAAATGCCTGCTGGAGTGCGACGTCCCCGCAGACTGGAAGAACGCCCTAGTAGTTTTGCTCTTCAAAAAAGGCGATAAAACTAAATTAAGCAATTACAGACCAATCAGCCTGTTGTCTGTCATGTATAAAGTATTTATAAAAATAATAACAGAAAGATTGACCAACAAACTTGACAGTTACCAGCCTAAAGAGCAAGCCGGATTTAGAAGAGGTTTCAGCACACTAGATCATCTGCAAGTAGTAAGAACAGTTATAGAAAAGACAAATGAATACAATATCCCAATCTGGGTCGCTTTTATTGACTATGAAAAAGCTTTTGACTCTGTAGAGATATGGGCTGTATTGAAGGCATTAAGCAACAGCAGAGTCGACTATCGATGCACAACCTTAATCCAAAATATATATAGCAACGCAACCCTCCAAGTTATGTTGAAAGATTTCACAGATAAGATTGATATAGGCAGAGGAGTTAGACAAGGAGAGTCCATCTCACCGAAGCTGTTCACGCTTGCGTTGGAGGATATGTTCAAGAATATCGGATGGGAAACTAAGGGCATTAAAATAAATGGAGAATACTTAAGTCACCTACGGTTTGCTGACGATATTGTTCTCTTCGCGGATAATCAACAAGATTTGCAAGACATGCTATTGGAACTAGATCAAAACTCTAAAAAGATAGGCCTCAAGATGAATATAGGAAAAACCAAATATATGACGAACGATAATATCACACAAGAAACGAGAATCGAAATAGATAACAAAAAAATAGAACACACAGAATCCTATGTTTATCTAGGTCAGAAAATAGAAGTTTCAAAAAACAACTTAAAAGCAGAACTACCGCGAAGGATATCGTTGGCATGGACAGCCTTTGGAAGACTCAGAGAGGTTTTTTGTTCAGGCCTCCCAAACACCCTCAAAGCGCAAATCTTCGATCAATATGTACTTCCAACACTAACATACGGTACAGAAACATGGGCAATTAATAAAGAAATCATTTGCAAGCTACAAACAACACAACGAGCTATGGAAAGGAGGATGATAGGTGTAACCCTCCGGGACCGAATAAACAATAATATAATCCGGGAAAGATCAAAAGTGACAGATGTCATAGAGAGATTATGTAGACTGCGATGGAGCTGGGCAGGACATATAGCCAGGAGCAAAGATGATCGTTGGACACGCAGAGTGAT